GAAGGCTGAGTCATCCCTGAGCCGGTGAGATTTGAACCGCTGACCTGCTGATCTAGCAGTAGCCTGCAGTGCTGCATTTAACCACTGCGCCACCTCACTCTCCACCCACTCTCCAATTTACCTAATGTCAGGCACATCCACATATTTCCCCTAATGAATAACAGAATAACAGAAAGAATCTTGGAGGTCCTCTAGTCCAACCCCCTGCTCACGTAGGAGATCCCATCCCATTCCAGTCAAATGACTTTCCAATCTCTCCTTAAAAACTTCCAATGATGGAGCAACCACAACTTCTGGAGTCAAGCTGTTCATTGTTCTCACTGTCAGGGAAGTTCTCCTTCAAGCTTGGGAAACACACAAGACCTGCAAACGCTTTAGAATAACCGGGTGACTTCTGGAGCACTCTTTCCATTCTTACCTGTGCATTCTGGATCTGAATAGCCCCTTGAGGAATTGCTTGGGTTAGCACCTGGCCCTGAGATGTTACCATAGTTACAGGCTGGTAAAGGGCTCCACCTGGCAAAGAGATAGGATTTCACAATTTTAAGAAGTCTACAGCCAGCAACAAAGGCAACAGCTAAAACCCACAAGCCAGCAAAGTTTTAACCAACCTTATGTGTTTGAAATTGTTTTTGAAAAAAAACAAACCCTGGTTATCAAGGGAATCAACATTAATCATCTTTGCCTGAAAGATGTCATGTTTATCCTAAATTCATGATCGTAAGGACTGACTTGAAAATATGAACTTTAAACTTGGACAATCTATGGCTCCCAAGTGTCTTTTTTGCAACCTGCACCACTCTCTGAAAAGTTGGCAAACAACTAATCAGTAATTTTTAAGCTGGAAAAAATAAGAAAATATAACAGTGTGTTAAATCTGGAATTGATTGATCACACTTCACTTATTTTTTCAATTGTCCCTTGATAGGGAAATTCTGATTTCATCCTTTCTTATCATTACTGAGCCTCTCACTGGATGATGATGATGATGATGATGATGATCATCATCATCATCATCATCATCACTTGCCCAACCTATTGAATACATGAATAAATAAACCAACAGCTTTTTCTCTCTCTCCTTAAATTAAAAATTGTGAAAAAGAAGGTTCTCAAAATGAAAAACAAATTTGTTTATTCATTGCTGGCAGTGCGTGACCTGACAACAGTGCGCTCGACAACAGCGCGCCAACAAAACCGCGGTGATAAAACCGCAATGTCGACAGCGCGCCCACAAAGGCACGCTGACAAAAGAGCGGCGACAGAAGCGCGATTACGGTTAAGGTAAGGGTTAGGGTAAGGGTTAGGGTTAGGGTTAGGTTTAGGGTTAGGGTTAGGGTTNGGGGGGATTCTCGGGGGTGGAGTCCCCAAGGCCTAAAGCCGTCAAGTTTGAACCCCCCCGGGGTTTTTTTTTTCTAAAGGGTTAGGAGTTCAAGGCTCTTGTAACTTGACAGCTTTAAGACTTGTGGACTTCAACTCCCAGAATTCCTCCTCTTGCTCTTCATCTTGATGATGTACGGACGGGCAGGGGGAGGGAGCTGGAACCGGTTCTAAACGGCACTGTGGATTTGTGGAACCTCTTCTATAGAAGAGGTTAGAACTGGCAGGAACCCACCCCGATACACCCACTCATTATCGTATTCCTTGTCAAATTAGACAGCCACCTAGACAATTTTTTGGGTTCCCTAACCTTCTTTTCAGATAAATAGCACAGCTGCTTTGCAGACACTCGTATCTTTCCAGATTTACAGCAAAGTTTACAAGCCTGCTCACTGAAGTCTTCAGCAAATAAATAATTCTTTTTTTTTAAAGAAATAGGCCCATATTTCTTCAGCAGTTCCTATAATAACAACTCAAAATTATCATCTACCCTGTTTTGGACTGTGTGGGATATTAAATCAAACCTGTAGCCCGAATATCAGACAAAAGTGTGCTTATTTGTTATTTAGTACTAGCCGATAACCTGGCATTGCCCGGGTTTTTATTTATAGGGGGAAAATATCCACACCATACCTAATTTCTAATGTTGGATTTTCCACCTTACCAGAGGGAGCCCTCCTTGTGGACTACTGTGAAGCCGTTACCATGGCAACTCCACTGCGCTGCACAATAGGCATTTTATGGCAGTACAGTAGGAGCCATTTTAAGGCACAACAGGCTGTATCTTAACAGAAAATACACACCAAGGGGTGTTGGGGTGTCTCCCCCCCCCCCAGTATTTGTTTCCAGAGAGTAATCTGTGTACCAAGTTTGGTTGAAATTGCTCAAGGCATTTCAGAGTTATGCTGGAACACACACGTACAAACACACATAGCCATTTTTATATCTGTAGATTTAGAACTGGTGAGCTGGCCAAAGATGCCAGACTGATTGTCTATAATTGTAACTGAAGCTCAAGTGAAAGATGTTTTCTGTAATATACCTCCTCTCTTCAGATGATATCCTGATTGTTAATCATGACAGTGCTGGAATGCAAAATAATTATGTTAAAATTATTACTTCATACACGCTACAATAATTTCACGTTTCAAGTCAGAAATAGCCCTATAATAATAAACTTTCCAGAAATTCCTCTGCTGATCTTATTTAGAAAAACAGAGATAATTATAGCAAAGAAGGAGGCATTTGTTCTGGAATAAATGTACATGGACTAAATCCTGGAGGGATTGGTGTGTGTGTGAGGGGGTGTCCTTTCTTTTAAAATAACAGGTGCTGAGTGATCCATTTATTAATTAAATTTACACACCATCCTTCTCGCTACACAGAGCAGTTCTGGGCAATGGTGTGATTCAACCGGTGTAACAACTGGTTTGCTTCATGCGTGGACGCTCTCTTCGCTTGTGTATGTGCCAAAACACATGCTCCATGTGCACGCAGTTTGTTTCAAAAACAGCTCTAAAACTTACCTTCTACCGCAGCCCTTGGTGAGTAAAACAGCTGAGGTGTGGCACTCCCCTCTGCTGCGCCTATCAGCTGGGCTTCAAACAAAATAAATATAGGAGGTGGGGCGGGTCAGTGGGGCCAACTAATCGCTGAAACTACCGGTTCACCCGAACCACTTCCAAACCGGCTGAATTCCACCCCTGGTTCTAGATGGCTTACAGTGCAATAAAACGGACGTATAAAAACCATGGTCAATATAGCAATAATTAAAACTACAGGCCATCACCTGGCACCAACAAGGTTAGCTAAAATATCAACAAATACCTCCCCCAAATCAGGGGTGGGTTTCTTGCCCCGTTCCAACCGGTTCGGTTGGAACGGGGCA